AATGAAAGGTAAACAGGAGAGCTTCGATAGTTTGTTCTCTGCCCACTCATAATACAATCAAATCTTAACTAGGTGTCCTTTTGACCTGTCTTCCAAAATGTATGAAGCTGTAATGTCTGTATTATTTTTCTCTTTTGACACTGTTGTTTCCCCTTGACTCCTTCTATCTCTAATTTCATCTTCTCCCTGAATCCCTTTTCATCTTTCCCTGTCTCTCCCCACTATCACTCTATCTGTTAACTGTCTATTGTAGATTTAATCAGTTTAGCTAATGAAAATGCTGACATTAACATAAAGTTGTTAATTGTGTCTCCTTTGTTTTTATGAAGAAATAACCAGTTTAAAATAAAAAAAAAAAAAAAAAGGCTGTCAGACACAACTGGTAATACATTTATTGGCAATTATCACCTGATTTGGTTGGTATTGGGAGAAACACAAGGATTTCTAGAAACTCGCTTGCCTGAGCTTCTCTCCTGCAATTAGAAATAGGAATGACAAAAGTGATAAAGTCAGCTTAGAGCAGTCATGGTGAAGCTCGAGCCACAGAATCCTGGTGTGGATTTTGCCATGACTTTATGCTAACACTATAGGTTTAGCCTAGTAACATCAGAAAGCTTGGTGAGAACGCTGTGTCCCAAATTCCATAGCATTTTTCTAATCCACTGTTAGACATTACAATGAGAACACATTAGCTAATTATAAATCATTACCACCTCCTGCTCAGGTAGATAGTACTCAGAATCCCCTAGTGTCCCAGAACACTATAAATCATCTAAACACGGAGATTGCAAAATCTTGGTCGTATTTAGTGAGGGAAGGTTTGGGTAAGCATCTGGTGTGACTTTGGTTACCATGGAACTCATTAACTCGAGTCACTGAACATCCTTAGCAAAGTATATAAACTATTTGCACAGCATTAATATCCACATAAAGCTAACTAATCTCCTGCCATTTTGTCCTAGGACACCATGGGTTTGCGGTAAGAAAGATAAACTGGGATGGGGTCTCTTCGGGTTTCTCCAGAATCTGTATGGGATGGCTGCTGTACCATTTGTATCTGCAGATAGTACTGTGAGACTAATTGCCTAAGCAAAAAGCAAAGTGTGTATTGAAAATGCTAATAATAACATGTATTTATGAGGGGCTTCAGGAGGAAATATGCAGGTGATAATGACAATTTGTCTCTTAGCACAGATATATTTTGAATTGTAACAAGACTCTCCATTTTGAGATGAGGCTGTGAAGCACCATTTTATTTGAGATGAGGTACCCACCCTACCGGCTGTGTATGAAAATGAGATTCTAACACATGCCACCTTCATTCATGGCTATTTTATATCCTCTGTTGTTCTAACATCTATAATGTTGCACATAATTTCTTTCACAGTTATTTTAGTACGTCATCAGCTGTCAGTGTGGCAGGTGGCAGTCAGCCTGGAATACACAGCTGCAGGGATGGAGAGAAGTTTGTGAGATCAAGTGAACAGGGCCACTAGGAAAGGACACAGAAAAAGAGGACAGCAGGACTTTGTGGAGAATATGTTAGAAATGGGCTGGAGGTGGGCAGAATGGGGAAAGTAGTTGGCAACCAGAAAGAGAAATTATTTGCCTATAGGAACATGCTTTTCACAATGGTATTGAATGTCTAAACTCATGCACCTGTCTGCAGCTTCCAGATCTGCTGTGCTTACCAAAGGGCATTTGAGAGAAGAGTGTTCTACAGTGAAGCCAGGCTCTTGCTCATCACCTTAATTCTGGGTCTGAAACTTCCTGCCTAGGTGAACCGGGCCAGTTGCTTTCCTTGATTTTTAAGTTTTTACATCTGTAAGAAAAGAATACAAGCATGCTTTCATGGGGTTGTTTACAGGAATTCATAGGTAATATTTGTAGAGTGCTTTGAGCTTCAGGAGTGCTATAAAGATGGACTTTATGCCCCACCTATCCATACAGATAACCATTTATTTAAATAGAGAGGTAAAGTGACAACTGCCACCTCAATTTAAACAAGGAACATTACCAGCCACCCCACAGCCTGATCCCTACCCCTGCCTGAACTGGAATAGACTCCATCTTCTGGGCATGACTCTCATAAAGGAACAGACAACATCTACCAACCAATGCATGTACCTAGGAATAAGTAGGAGTCATATATATGCTGCCAATGGCATATGTTGTGTTCCTGCGTCATGAATGTGATGTTCTGTTCTTCACCTGTGCCTTTGGCTTCCTTCAAGAGTAGTCGTTTGCATCTCTGATGTCACTCATTAGCATATGTGCAGTAATCTGCCACCGACTTACATCTCAAAGCTTACACAAAGCTACAGCCAGTGGCACTGGTTGATTATTTTGCAAATGCAAAGCCAACTGCTTTTGAGGTTATCCCTAACTCAACTGAACATAGACCCAAAGAACACCAGAGTTTGAGATAGAAAGGCAGAGGAGGGCCTCCTGTGAAAGTGACCTGCTGAAATCAGAGGAAAAGGAAACATTAAGTGAGAAGAGTCTTCCCAGGGCCTATGAGATGGACTAAGTGACAAAATCTCTCTTTTCTGTCTCGATCTTGTACAGTTTTGTGGGCCTCAAAGCAGCAAAAAGAGAAAACAGCTGCAGGATCCATATAGCGAGGTGTCAAGGAGATGGGTGCAAGACCAACCCCTCGAAGAACCAAGCTTCAAGCAGAAGCACAATAGCTCCCTAGGGATGTGCAGGCCAGGGGCATATCAAGCCTGCTGCTCGGCCAAGAGGTGGGTAGCAGAGGTGCACGGGATGCCTGGCACCCACCTGCCTGCTCCCCTGCGGCCACGGGGGAGGCCATGCTGTGTGCTCTGCGCTGGGGCAACACCTGACAGAGACGTCCCCTCTTCTTTCAGCATACGGGATGAAGCAGGGAGACTGTTGGATTTCCTTCCTTCAGAGGAGGTTGGGAAGGACCTAATATTCCCTTGTCTGGGATAAACTCGTCCTTGTCTTTCCTCACTTCGCGGCACTGTGGGCGGACGAACGCGGCAGCCGCCCCCCAGGCGCTGGCGGAGAGGTGGGGAGCACTCGGGCGCAGGGCAGCCCCCTGGGAAAGAGCATCGCCCCTTCCCTCTCCTTGCTG